AGGAGTCCTGGCACTGCTTTGTTTGCTCTTCCCAAATTGCTCTGTGAAACCTGAATCCTGGGACCAAAGGCTGAGGAAGCTTGTCACAGGCTGCTGGCCAGGATGGGAGATGGTTCCTGCAGCGGAGGGCACCATGGATGGGTGTGACAGGGCCTGACCCTGCCCTGCAGCTGGAACATCTGCACTGGGAGAGCAGCTCCTGACTGGGAGCCCGTGCCTAGCTGGACACTCATTGGCTTTGCTGAAGACAATCCTGCTGCCGAGCGGGCTGCAAGGCAAGGAGCTGGTATGAGAATTGCTGGATAACTTGGAATTCAGTGCCAATTCAGTCCTAAACTGGGGGCACTGGGGAGTCCCGGTTGCTGCAGGTGCTTCGGTGGAGGTTTGGTGCTATTTCCGGTGGTGTCTGTGGTGTTCCAGCTTTTCCTGGTGCTGTCCTGCTGCTGTGGAGCCAGCTGGACATGGAGACCTGTCCCACCCATGGCCTCTTTGAGGTGGCTGCTCCTGCTGGGCTGCGGGATGCTGGTAGAGGGGCTGTCCCCACACCACTGCCAGCAGCCAATGTCCCCGTGCCGTGTGTGAGCAGCCACCTCCCGGACACACTCGGCTTGTCCTGAGTGGCTTTGGATGGCCCTGGGGTGGCACATGGATGCAGGAACCCTTTTCCTTGGCCTGTTTTGTTGCTTTGGGGGAGGTGGGAGGTGGCCTGGCCGGAGGCTGGCTGGCCATGGTGGGTGCCGGTGGCTCCGAGCCCCAGTGAGATTCCCGTCCTCCCCCCACAGCCACGTTGTCCTCGTTAGGCCAAGGTGCCTTTGCGAGCCCTCCCTGGGCTCCAGCGTGCCACAGCCCCCGGGAAGCACAGCTCATATCTGGTTTGTGGGTCCCAGTGGCACGGAAGAGAGGAGAGGATGTCCCTGGAATGGGGTCAGGCAGGAACGGAGGTGGCAGGGGCTGGAATCGGAGTGGGGCGCTGGGAGGCAGCGGCTCAGCGTGGGGGTCCCTCGTTCCAGTGACACCAGGGTGGTGCTGGCATGTGGAAAACTGCGAGAGGGGATGGCTCTGGCAGGGCCCAGGGTGTGACTTTGCTGGCTCAGTGTGTGGTTTAGGGGAAACAGGGCTGTTTTGGAAGCTGTTTGGGGTGTGGAGGGTGTGCCATCCCCTCCTGAGGGATGCCCAGGCCTCCAGCCTGCTGGCCTTGGGTGGGAGTCGGTGTTACCTGCTCATAACTGAGGGTTTGGGGATGGAAATGGGGAAATCAAAGCTCTGCCAAGTGCAGGGACAGAGCAGCGTGGGCCTGTGCACATCCCACTGCTGCATTTCACATTTCTCCCCTCTTTAAAGAGGAATCTGGGTCTTGCAGAGCTCCTGCCCTGCATAGATTTTCCCTTCATCTTCCCAATTCCTTACCCCAGAACAGCCCACGGTGCGAGTCCCAGCCCCTGGTGCTCAACCGTACATCAGGCTCAGCCCAAACCCTTTTCCTGTAACCTCCTGCAATAACCGGATTGTTTTTCCGTCAGTCTCTGATGTGGCCAGAGGGTTTTTTTTCCCCCTTTTTCCCTCTTAATTTCCAAGCAGCCGCTGATCCAGCAGCCTCCTCTGCGGGAGCCTGGGGCAACTCTCCCGGGCGGCCTCTGCTCCTCTCAATGAGCTCCTAATGAGTTTGCAATTAGTTATGGGCAGAGCCGATGTGCCCAGGGCTGGATCCAGAGCAGGACAAAGCATCCCCCAGCAGGGAACGGAGCTGGGGCAGGATTGTCGGTGCCAGGCTCGGCTCCCTGCTGGATGCTGGGCTGTGGATACGGGATGATGTCCTGCCGGGATCTGCTCCACCGTGCTGGGGATGGAGCCGGGAGGTTTGGGAAGAGGAGCGGCAGCTGCCGACGGGAGACGAGTGGCTGCCTATAAATACCTGCCAGGGAGCAAGGAAGAGGTGGGTGGATTATCCTCCTCACTCAATGAGATAAACGGTTCTGAAGCTTAAACACAGAACAATTTTAGTCTGAATAGTAGGAGAAATGGCTCAGGATGCGGAGATGACGGCAGGAACCGCCTGTGGTGAGCGGCAGGTCCCGGGGCCACGTGGCAGCAGCTTCGCTGCCTCTGTCACTCCCGGGATCTTGAACCCTTGGGGGGCTTTGCCAGGACTCGGCCGGGATGAGCATCCTTCCTCCCTGCTTGGGAAAGCTCCTTCAGGAACACCTGAAACTGGAGAGGGTGCGTTTGGCTTCCTTCAGACGCGGTGCTGACTCCTCTTTTGGGAGTTTTGGGGTGGGAGAGGAGCTGGGCTCTGGGAAAAGGCTCCGTTCTGCCTCTGGAGTGACCCGACCCGGCGTGTGGGCGCACAGGTGATCCTTGGCGTGACTGGCCTGGCTGCAGAAGGATGTGGGACCAAGCCGGTGGCATCTCCTGCTGCTCTGGCACTGCCATCCCTCCGTGTCCCGCCATTCCCGCATCCCTGCCGTCCCCGGGAGTGCACGGAGCTGGAAGAGAGCTCTCGCTGCCTCCTGCTGCCGCCCCGCTTCGCTGCTCACATCAAACCCAACATGTTTTCAAAAGTCTTTCAATTTTTAATGAAAACTTCTGTGTTTACGCTTTCCCTGGCCTTGGCGCGTCGGTATTTCGGTCGCCGCCGCTGTTTGGTTTCTCCTGGGATTGCTGGTGGCCCCGTGTTGCCGATAGCCCTGACGAGGGTTGTTGTTGGGAGCCGGCACTGCGGCAGGATCCCGGCACATCCCAATCCCTGGCAGCACATCCCGGTGCCAGCTGTGCCAGCCCACGCCGCAACACGGGACCTGACTCGGCGGGATCCCTGCTTCCCGTGGACGTTCCTCGGTTGCTGGTTGGGAAGGAGACACCTGGAAACCCCAACAGGCTGAGCCAAGGGGAAGAGCAAACAGCCCTTGAGTTGGAGAGCACTTCCACAAGCTGCCAGTCCTCCCTCTCCTCTCTCCCATCCAACCAGCGGGGTTCTTCCTCAAACCCAACCTTCCCAACTCGAATAATTGCATTTCAAAGCCGGTTAATTAAGGGATATTGATGAGTGCAATCGTAAATCCAAGCGTAGCCGGAATTCTTCGTGCAGGATGCTGGGGGCTGTTCTCAGTCCTGCCTCCAGCGAGCTGCTGCTGATCCACCTCCACCTCCAGCACCCAGACGCTGAGATGGTGCTCCTCTGCCAGGGGGCCAATGAAACACTATGGAGATGAGCTGCTTCGGAGATCTTATGAGTCAAACTGTTACATTTTTGGAACATCATGATGTTGAAGTTCCTTTTCTATTTTTTCCCCAACTTCCCAGGGAAAAAACATAACTATAATAAGTGAAGAAGCTGAGCTTTGGTTTGGGATGACAGGCAGCTCGGTGGGGGGAAGGAAGGAAGGAAGGGAGGAAGGAAGGAAGGAGGGAGAAGTTGGAGATCTGACTCAGCCTTATTGGGAAGGGGCTGGGAGGATCCTTCTGTGATCCTGACCGTGGGGTGCTGGAGATGCTTTGTGGGGTGTCTGGCACCATTTGGGGTGGCTCTCACAGCCCCTGCATGGGGCTCAGCCCATGGGCACCACCTGGGCTCTCTCTGTCCATCCTCATCCACCTGCAGCCACCAAGTGCCGTCCCCACGTCCCTGGCTGCCCGGGGTTTGTGCTTCTGCCGTGACAGAGGGTGAGGCAGTGCCCTGAAGACATCAGAGGAGATGCTGGAGTGGTTTCACTGCTGTGGTGGTGTGATGGGTGATTCCAATCTTGGATCTTCTTGTGGGAATGGTCAGAGGAGAAAACCATCCATGATTTGTTGGGAGTGAGGAGTGTTTGTCCATGTGCTGCTGGCTGGGCTGGCCTCTGCTCTGCTTTGCTGAGATCCCACCGGGAATGCTGCATCCAGCTCTTGGTCCCCAGCACAGGAAAGACATGGAAATGTTGGAGCAAGTCCAGAGGAGGCCACAATGATGATTATTGGGATGGAACACCTCTGCTGTGAGGAAAAGATGAGAGAATTTGGATTGTTCAGCCTGGAAAAGAGAAGACTCTGGAAGACCTTAAAGACCATTTCAGTGCCTCAAGGGGCTTCAGGAGAGCTGGAGAAGGACTTGGGACAAGGGATGGAGGAACAGGACACAGGGAATGGCTTCCACTGCCAGAGGGCAGGGATGGATGGGATATTGGGAAAGAATTGTTCCCTGGGAGGGTGGGCAGGCCCTGGCACAGGGTGCCCAGAGAAGCTGTGGCTGCCCCTGGATCCCTGGGAGTGCCCAAGGCCAGGCTGGATGGGGCTTGGAGCAGCCTGGGACAGTGGAAGGTCTCCCTGCCCATGGAACGACATTGGCTTTAAGGTCCCTTCCAACCCCAAAGCAGTCTGGGATTCTGGGATTCTCCACAGCAGTGTTTGGCACCCTGGCTGGCGAAGGCCAGGAGTTGGTGCTGGGGGATGTGAGGGATGTGAGGGAGGGATTTGCTGCAGAGCCATCGTGTCCCACTGGTCCCTGTGCATGGTCCTGGTTCCACTGGCTGGGGCGAGGCTCAGCCTGAGGGGGCTCCCTGCTGGAGACAGGGCTGGCTCTTGGGGTCCCCACTGGGGACACAGCAGCAGAGGGGACCCCCAAAGGGCCTTAGCTCCTGTCCTGCAGGGTGGCTGTGAACACACCAGGCCTGAGAAAATGTGTCTGTGTGTGTGTCCCTGTTTGATCCATGTGTGTCCTTGTGTGTGTCCCTGTCTCCTGTCCCTGTCTCTGCCATGCCTGGAGCCCTCCCTTTGCCCCCAAACATCCACACAGCTGCAGCCCCTGCAGAGGCTGGAGCATCCCCTCCAGAGCCATTGGCTTGGTGGTCCCTGGGAACAGAGAGGTGACACCCGCTGGGGGCTGCTCAGCACCACCCTGGCAGCCCAATCCCCCTTTGCAAGGAGCCATGGCTGCAGCCCTGGGGATGGGATGGGATGGGACAGGATGGGATGGGACACAATGGCTCTGCAGCCCCCATGGAAGCAGTGCCACCTCTGCCTTGCAGCACAACCATGAGCGCGGGCTCGATTGAGCAGGAGCCGTCGCGCAAGCTGGGCTGCTGCGGGGTGCCCCTCATCACCGAGGACATGCAGTCCCTGGCCATCCGCACCCTCTCGGGCACCGACATCACCAAGCACTATGACCTCATCCGAGAGCTCGGCAAGGGCACCTACGGCAAGGTGGACCTGGTGTCCCACAAAAGCACAGGTGAGGGGAGCGGGGCGGGTGCTGGCAGTGGGGTGCCCAGTCTGTCCCAGCCGAGGGCTCACCCCTGTCCCCTGCCCTCCACAGGCACCAAGATGGCCCTGAAGTTCGTCAACAAGAGCAAGACGAAGCTGAAGAACTTCTTGCGGGAATTCAGCATCACCAACACGCTCTCCTCCAGCCCCTTCATCATCAAGGTCTTTGACGTGGTCTTCGAGACCGAGGACTGCTACGTCTTCGCTCAGGAGTACGCCCCCGGCGGGGACCTCTTTGACATCATCCCGCCTCAGGTGGGACCCCGGCACCTCCCATGGGAGCCTCTGGGGGATCTGGGGGTTCAGGGGGTGCTGGGCTTTGTGCCCATGTGGGAGGGGGTGCAGGTGCAGGGACTGGGCACCCCTATCCAGGCTGGGCTTGACCACAAACTCCTCCAAAAAAGTGTGGGACCCATCGCCCATGCCCTGGGTGGCCTAATATCCATCACCTATCCCTAGGATGGCCTGAGACCCATCACCCTTCTCCTGGGGAAACTGTGGCTGCCCCATCCCTGCAACTGTCCAGGGCCAGGCTGGACGGGGCTTGGAGCAGCCTGGGACAGTGAAAGGTGTCCCTGCCCAGGATGATGCTTAAGGTCCTTTCCAACCCAAACCGTCCAATGGGGAGCCTGAGACCCACCACCATCCCTTGGGTGGGCCAGGACCCACCACCACCCCCTGCCTCAGAGCACCCAGATAAAAGCACCACGTCCATCAGACCACAGAGATGGGGGTGCCCGGGCTGGGTGGGACCCACAGCAGGTGGCTGATGCCGTGTCCCCCGCAGGTGGGGCTCCCCGAGGAGCTGGTGAAGCGCTGCGTGCAGCAGCTGGGCCTGGCCCTCGACTACATGCACAGCAAGAGCCTGGTGCACCGGGACATCAAACCGGAGAACGTGCTGCTCTTCGACCGCGACTGCCGCCGCGTCAAACTGGCCGACTTCGGCATGACCCGCAAGGTGGGCTGCCGGGTCAAGCGCATCAGCGGCACCATCCCCTACACGGCGCCCGAGGTGTGCCAGGCCGGCCGCGCCGAGGGCTTCGCCGTGGACACCAGCATCGACGTCTGGGCTTTCGGGGTGCTCATCTTCTGCGTCCTCACCGGGAACTTCCCCTGGGAGGCGGCGGTGGCGTCCGACGCCTTCTTCGAGGAGTTTGTGCGGTGGCAGAAGGGGCGGCTGGCGGGGCTGCCCTCGCAGTGGCGGCGTTTCACGGACAGCGCCCTGCGCATGTTCCAGCGCCTGCTGGCCCTCGACCCCGAGAAGCGCTGCCCCGTCAAGGAGGTTTTCTACTTCATCAAGTGCGACCTCATGGCCGAGGTGCGGTGCCGGCCCTCCTACCGCTCCCGCAAGCACGCCAGGGACAAGCTCCCGGCCGGGCCCCACTGCCACGAGGCCGCCGGCTCCTGCACCCCCGCCCCGCTCAAGAGGACCGTCCTGACCGAGGGCAGCGGAGCGCGCGGCTCCGAGCCCGGCGCAGCCGCCCCGGGCACGGCGGGCAGGACAGACGGACGGCAGGACAAGGGCAAGGGGCAGATGGTCCTGGCCACAGCAATAGAGATCTGCGTGTGACGGCGGAGCGTGGCGGCTGCGCGACCCGCCCCGTCCCCCCTCCCCGGACAGGGATGGGGGGAGTACGTCGTGGTGGTGGTGGTGGAACGAGCCGGGACCGGGCTCTGGGTTTCCCAAAGGAAAAAAACAAAGGAAAAGAAACACAACCGAAGAGGAAAAGGACAGAACTGGTTGCGCTCTGTAGCGCCGAGGATGCCGATCCCCCAGTGGCCGGAGCCCAGCCGAGGGCACCGCTCGCTGCTGGGGACGCTGGGGGCACCCGCAGCCCTGCCACGGCTGTGCTGCCCCCTCCAAGGCTCCCCCCAGGGTGGCACGGGGAGGGGTGTCCCAGTACGGGGAGGAAGAGTCAGGGGGCAGTGGGTGGCGGGTGACCCACTGGCTCTGCCCCCACCCCGTGCCTGGACCCTGTCAGGGGGAGAGGGAAGGCCGATGACCCTGCACCGTGGAGGAGGCCTTTGGGGAGGTTTGGGTGGGTGGTGATTTTCCCTCTTCCACTGGTCCCTGCCGCCCTGCTGGGGACTGGGAGGGGATGGGGAGGTGGGTGACGGGGAGCCGGGGTTTGCCGGCAGCCCCGGACCCCCGGCAGCCCCGGCTGCCTCCCTGCCGTGGGAGGTGCTGGCAGCCACTGATGTAGCAAGTGTCCCTGTCTGTGTGTCGTTGTGTGTCCCAGCCGCTGCCACTGGCAGTGCCCCCGCCCTGCCCCACCCGGCTCAGGCCCTGCCGGAGGGATGGGTCCCCTGTGGCCGGAGCAGCGCTCCGGGCTGTGCCCAGCGGTGCCACCATCCAGCAGGTTGGATGCTCGGGGCCGGGCCGGCATCCCCGCGGCCCCTGTGCACTCTTTGTACCCAGGGACTGGAGGAGGTGGCAGCGGTGCCCCCCAGGCTGCCCTGCACAGCCCGGGAGCAGGGGAGGGAGCTCCTCCCGTGGGCCCGCCCGCTTCTGTGTGCTGTCCCCATCACCCCTCCTTCCCCAAACCTGTCACCCTCCCCTGGGGCTGGCGGGGAAGCGGCAGCGGGACAGACCCTGCCGGGGTTGGCTGCAGCGAGGGCGTGGTGGCAGCAGCCGCCGGTGGCCCCTTAGCGACAAGGTCCTGGGGTGTGTGTGGAGGTCACACCTTCCCTCCTGGATTTGGGCACCCAGCAGAGCGGGTGGGGAAGCTGTGGGGGCACCCCAAGGCAGGAGCACCCTGCAGGGGGGTTCGGGCTTCCCTCCCATGGGGTGGGTGCCGTGGGGCCACCCCGGTGCCCCAATTCCCCACAAAGGGCTATAAACGCTTTCCAGCAGCAGCAGCAGCAGCAGTTTACAGAGCAGGGGCCGCCCCCCGCCCCCGCCGTGCCCCGTCCCTGGCACCCCCGGGCCCGGCGTTAGACGTAGCATTGCCCCACGTAGAGAGCTAGGCACCGGTTTTACTCCTCTTTGCCTTAGGTCCCTCGATGTCCTCGATCTTTCGTGCAATAATGTAGATAAGGGATCCCGGCCGCCCTCGGTGGCACCGCCCGGGGTGGGTCCCAGAGGGTGCCCGGTGTGATTTCTGTCCCCGTCGAGGTCGCTGTGTCCGTAGGTTGTCAGGTTTTTATTTCCAGTTCCCTCAGCTGTCGGGTTTCGGACCTTCTTCCCGTAGGAGAGGCTGTAGTGTCACAGATGTTACCTCAGTTTGTCACTGTTGAAAAGGATTTAAAAAAAAAAACACAACTGAAACCATAAAAAAATAACAAAATACATAGATATAAAAGCAACAAAAAATTTCTCAATGGCGGTGAAGACTTTTTTTTTTTTATTAAATAAAGAAAACGTGAAGCTGCTTGTGCAGGGGTGGAGGGCACAGCCTGTGTTCTGCCGTGACCTCAGGAGTGGCTGTCCCTCCACTCGGACCCTGTCACCAAGGGCCGGGAGGGAGGGCAGGGATGTGGGGAGCAGCACCCATGGGTGGGGGGCACCCAGCGGTGCAGCCCCCTCCCGACAGCCACGGCCGCCTTGAATGCGAAATGTATTCCAGCCACGTCCTCAGGCTAATTTCAATTTCCTGGTAATTATGCAAATGAATGTGGATTTAATTAAGGGCAGATTTCATTAAAGTCTTCTTGGGGAAATGAGAACAGGGTGGGGGAGAGCGGGGAGGAGGAGGAGGCGGTGGCAGGGAAGCAGAGATGAAGGCAGCGCCTGCCCCGGAAGATAAATGGCCACGGGGGATGCGGAGGGGATGGAGGGGATCCTTTGGGAGCGGGGTCCCACCTGCCCTGCCGGGGGCCGGAGCTGAGCCGGGGACAGAGCCCGGGCAGTGCAGCAGCAGCTCCGTGCTGCATCCCCAGCTCCGGGAACCGGGCAGCGAGTCCTGCTCACCCCCTGCTCCAGCAGCTCCCGGCTCCTTCCCTCCCAGCACGGCAGGGAAAGCATTGCTCTGACACGTGATTCGTATTTTTCTCTTCTCCGGCTAAAAATACAGATTTTGCCACGCCGAGAGGTCTAGGAAATCAATGTCATTGTCACCAGGCGCAGGCTGGTAGGACTCCCCTCCCCCGATCCAGACAAAAAAAGGGAACGCTGCCATTTGACGGCTCGGAGCCGAAGCGCTCGCTCGGCTCCAGCGGAGCTGCCTTTAATCCAAAGTGAAACGGGGATAATTTTATCCCGGCAAGGTCGGGATGCTGCGAGCCCGGCAGCGCCGGCGGGGCAGGAGCTGCTTGTGTCCAGGCACAAAAAAACGGAGCTAAAGTTTGCCAAGCCCCGGCCCGCACGGCTAAAGTGTCACCAGCCCGGCGGAGCCCCGAGCTCCCCGCGACCCCTCCCAGTTTGTCCCCGGTGTGGCCGGGAGGGCGGCCGGACATTCCCGGGTCACGGCCGCTGACCCTGGGCAGTCCCCGGGCGAGGGATGGGCAACACAATCACTGCTCTGAAAGGAAAATGATCCTCGATTTGGACAGATCCTGAAGGAGAGGAGGGAAGAGGGATGGGGGGCAGGTGTGGAATGGTGTGGGTGCAGCATCCCGTAAAATCAGATCCTTCCGAGGAAGGCCAGGCTGTGACACTGATCCCACCTCGGATTTCATCCACCCCCCGATTCCGGAGCTGGACTGTGCCCTGTTTTCCTCACAGACACTTTGTGAGGCACTGCAGCCCCAGCTAAAACACTGGAGGTTGGGAGTAAAAATAACCGGGAATGATCCTCTCGTTGGGAGCACAATGATCAACGCCAAGCTGGCAGCGCACGAAGTCCCACCCCAATCGCAAACAAGCCCTTTAAAAGGTAATATTTTGCCACTAGGATGGTGCTTCAGCTCGCTGCTGACTCAGGAGGGGCCGTGGGATGAGGAGGGAGTTCCCACACACCCCGAACAGGGAGGGGAGCGCAGGGTCCGGGCTGCCGGGGGCTTCCCCAGCCCGGCTCGGGGACACGGGGGGACGCCAGGCCGGCGTGGGGAGCATCCATAAACTGCGCTTCTCGGGGCCCATCCGCTTTCAAAAACTTCCAAAAATAGCGGCGGCAGGGCTCTGGAATGGGCGAAGGGAGGAAGTGTGACTCATGTGGCACCCGGAGCCCCGGCGGAACCGGGCGGGAGCCCGAGCGGGGATGCGGGAATGCGGCAGGAATGGGAGCAGGCACCGGGGACACAGCTCGGGCTCGTCCCTGCCCGTCCTTCCCGCGGGGACCCGCTGCTGTCTGCGATTCCAGCTGCTGCGGATGATGGACAGATGTCAGTCAAGGCCTGGCAGCGGGAATGAGCTGCTGGAGACAGCAAAACCCATCCCGAGGTGGGGAAGCAGCTTGTGCAGCGTGGGAAGGCTCAGCAGGCCCGTGGCTGAAGGAGAGGTGACCTCGTGTGCAGATCCAGCCACCTGTGGGAGGAGGGAGAGCGGAGCTGGCTGCACCTCCAGCCATCCCTGTCTGCTGGGGAGAGCCCTGGGAGCATCCCACAGGAGCAGCTCATGGCCAGAGCCTGCCAGGTGCTTCCTGCCAGATCCTTCCAGATCCTTCCAGATCCTTCCAGATCCTTCCAGATCCTTCTCTCCAGCCTCAGCCAGCCGGGCCATCTGGGCTGGCCGCAGAGGGGAGCAGGAGGCTCCTCCCAGCAGCTCCCCTGGCCCTGTGCTCCCCACAACGCCTTTGGACACGTTTTTCCACCCAAAGGTGTTTTTTCCCCGTGGAAAAGGCAGTGTTTTCAGCAGGGTCTTTTGGCTGAAGGATGGCTGGGGGTGTCAGCTTTGGGAGGAGGGGGTTGATGGCAGTTTTTGGGTGCGGGGAGGTGCCAGGGCCCGGGGAGGGTGGGGCTGGGGAGCACCCCCAGCCCTGAACACCCCTCACCCCCCGAAGGGGTGGGCTATGGGCTCCAGCTCCAGGCCTCCCATGTTGCCATGACAACTGCAGCATCCCAGCTTGGCAGGGATGGGAAATCTCCTCCATCCCATCATCGCCTCGCCCGGACATGGCTCCGGATCTGGCACAGGCAGCATCCCAAACCCATGGAGGAGCACGAGGTGCAATTTCTGCTGGCTCTGAAGGCTGGGCCGTGCTCCTCCATCCTGCACAGCCCTCCCAGAGCCACACGGCTGCCAGGGCAGGGGCAGGAGAGATTCCTGCTTTTCAGATGTGGATCTTCCCATTCCAAACCGGGGATTCCAAACCCTTCCACCTGCTCTGGATCTGCGGGGTTCTGGCAAGCACAGCATTCTCCAGGCTGCCCCCACACCTTCCTGTCCTCTCTGGGGGGGACAAAGTGGGCAGTGGGCTCCCAGGCCACAGATCTTTGAGATTTGGGGGCAGCAGAGCCAGGGGTGTCTCTGGGCTGGTGTTACCCCCATTAATCGGAGCATCCTCACGGGCTCCTGCTCCCTGCAGCCTCCCAGCCCCTCAGCTCTGAGCCTGGAGAGATCCCGAGCTAATTCCTCGCTGACAGCAGTGGCACAGGTTTGGGGAAAAGCTTAGCTCCTCGTCTCAGAGGCTGCTGCATCTCCACAAAAGTCGCATTTGAAGAGCATTAATACAAGATTAATCGAGGTTTTAATAAACAGCGAATCGAGCGCTAATGGAGCCCGACTTGTAAGCCATGTGTAACACCCTGGGGGCTTAAAGGCATCCAGAAGACGGCTGGAACATGCTGAAAGGGGATGTTAATCACCTTGTAGCCCCGAAGACACCGCAGGGGAAGGGAATTTTAGGGGAAAGGCTGCAGGTGAGCCTGGGGCACGGGGATTTACAAGCGTTTCCCCCAGCCCAGCCCTGGCACCGAGGCAGGCAGAGGAATTTGGGACACCTGAGTGCCCCCGGGGCTGGAGCCTCTGAAGCAAGGCCAGTTTATAAGGGAAGATGTGCCCTGGAGCGGAGCTATCCCAGTCACCACCCCCTACTTGGTGACTGGGGACCATTTGGAGGGGGCAAACTCCGCGGCTAACCTGGGGTCCCTCTCCTGGGGCTCCCCCACCCCCCTGGACAGGAGCCCATCAGCACCT